TTTTTTTTTTTTTTTTTTTTTTTTTTTGAAATCAGCAAAGCTCGCTGACTGCCTACAGCTGGCAGCTCTGCCTCAGTCCTGACTAAACAAGTGCAATTATTTTAATGCACTTTTGACTTTTGACATTGCAAGACAACAGCTGCTGCTCCAGCTGCAGCAACAACAGCAACAACTACAACAACTACAACAACATAGAGGACAATCTTGAAGCACTTTAAAGCATTTATGGCTGGCATTGTTTGTCTACAGGCGCTGAGCCGCCCATTGAGTACAACACTTGGCGGCACTGCCTCAAGGTCGCCCGCCGCCTGAACTTGCCCCAAATGCTGCGTTCCGCAATTACGCAGCGTTTACACTGCGCCAATGCAATTTTTTCTAGCTTGATTGTAGTTTACTTTTTTTTTGTTTTTTTCTTAAAGTCCTTCTGTGGCTGTCGCTGTTGCTCTTGACACAAAATTGAATTCGCGTTGGCTTCAGAAATTTGCCAACGTCACCCGCAGCTGATGATGATGTCGATGGCTACGCACCATCAGACACTGGCAGCGCCTTTTTACTCCTCACCCGGCCACATTTGCCGTCCTTCCCCCCCCTCGCAGCCAGCATAAACAAATTTCTGCAAATGCTCGCATAAAACTTACGAAATTGCAAAACGTATTTTTTGCTTTGGCCTATCCGGGAATAGGGGAAGCGTGGTGTGTGTGTGTGTATTGTTTTATTTATTATTTTTTTTTTTTTCGGTTTTTTCGTTTTTGTGTGTGTGTGTGTTTTCTTTGTTTCTTCTATCTGTTGGTTGACGCGCTGTCAGTTGGGCGTTGTCTGGCCGTCATGTCCTCTTGTGGCGCGTTGCCTTCAAAGCCAGCTGCTGTTGCCGGGGAAGGCGCTAATTTAATTAAGATCCGCCGACAAACCGACAGGCGATATATGTCAGTAAAATGTGCTGTAAGACTTTGAAGTGTGCCATCCACTCTGACTTGGATACTTTGCTGCTTCTCTTGCCTTCAGTTACCTCACGAAAGCAAAAGTATGAATCATATTTAGGTTTATTATCGTTTGTCATTAAACAACAACAACAACAGCTGGCAATATGTTACGTATACGCAGTGTCTGCCTCGCACTCAGTTTAGCATATTTAAAATTTTCCAGCGTTGCTTGCTTTACCTGTGTAAGCTGCACATAAACTGATAAATTGACTTATTGCAAAATAATCGACTCTGGCAAGGCATCCTGCCCAGCCTGTCTGTCCTTCTGCCTGCTCTTTATTTTTATGACATATTTGGCTTTATGATGTAGTTGAATTTGAAATTTTTCGTGAGCAGACAGCGGCGCATAAATTATGCCCCGCCTCATTTGCCGCGCAGCAGGGCGCATTTAGTCGAGGCAGTTGCTGCCGTTTCATTAATATTAATTGACCAATTCAAAAGGAACAGCCAAAAGGGACAAGACCGGAGCGAAAAAAAAACTATATCGGAGTATTTTTTTTTTTTTTTCAAAGAGCCCAAAATAACAAATTTGTTTTGGGCACTGTTAAGGAAAAAAAAAAACACATAAATAAATGCGGGAATTAGGCCAACGCCAAGCCAAATAAAATAACGTAAAAATATGTAAAAATAGCAGCGGAATTTCTGCCCAAATTTTTGGGTCAATTATTGGATTGCATAACCGAGTTATATAAATGAAGTAGAGTCTGCAATCTAACATGTGTGACTTGCCCTAGACACTGGCTGTGGGTGGGCGTGCCTGGTGCGCCCTTCTAAATGTCGCTTGAAATTGAAAATACGAAATGCTGTCCGCTCTGCTCCCAATGGCTGTCAGGAGAGTTTCCCAGCTGCCTCAGCGCCAATAGCCCTGTCCAAATATTCAATTGAGAATGTTGTCTGCTTTTATATTTATATTTTGATTTCTTTTTCTCACTCTCTCTCTTTCTCTTTCTCTTTCTTTCTCTCTCATTTTTATTCATCGTCGACTGTCAGCAGCTGTGGCCATTCGCTGCCGCTGCTGTTGCTGCATTAGTTTTTATGCTCACCTTTGGAGCTGGAGGTGGGAGGTGGAAAAAACTTTTCCAAACTGTGCTTCTCCTTCATTCAGTTTTTCCATTATCTGAGCTGCAGTTGGTTTCGCAGTTGTTGTCTGTCTTGATGTAGCCAAGTCTTTGCCCATTGCCAAACTGTCAGCGTTATTTTCATTTCTCTCGTATACTTTATGTATTCGAGCACTTGATTCTAAGCGCACACAGGACATGGAATTATTGATATTGGCAAATATATTTATTTTCATTTTTATTTTCATTTGTATTAACTTTGCTGCTCGATAGTCTCGTAAAGTTTTGTACATGATTGAATTCCTGTGGGCTCATAATCGAATTATTTCTGCGCATTTAAACTAGTTTTCCTTTCGCAACTCACAGTATCCTTTTAGCATAGAATGTTTTTTTTTTTTTTTAATAGAGCTTGTCAAGCTTTGCCTTGCCTGATAATTGAATTTTCCCGCTGTGTGCACTTTGTCCGCTCAGCGGGAAATTAAGTGAATGACTTTGTGTCAATTATCGAAAGGGTTCGCCGCGCAGCAACCTCTGCTTCTAGGCATATTGTTGTCGAAGGCGTCATTGTTGGCCGAGGACAGGTGAATTGACACTTGATATTACGTACATCCTGCGGACACAGAGTGCAACATCCAACAAACGTGTGTTATCTGAGCCACAAAAGCCACTCGTACGCATTGTGTTAACAACTGCCAAAGGGAAACAGGAATCGAGACAGAGGCATTAATAGACGGCTTGGGTCAGTCGTCTATCTCACTATTATTGGTTGTGATTTTTGGCAAATTTCCACTTGTGCGCCTTCTGATAGACTCTGACTCACACACACACACGCACACGCACACACACACACACACACCCTTACACATATACAAACGGCGACGTATGACAAGTTTTGGGCTGTCCACAAGCTGTCACAGCGCACACATTGGCGGGAGTGGGAGTGGCAGTGGGAGGGCGGCTAACCGGAACCTTAGCCGAGGCATTTTACGCACAGTCAAGCGACTGATAGGCAGTCCTCGAAATTTATGGTACGCAATTTGTTTTGGCCCGCCCGCAGCCATGTGAGGGGCATATATCAATGCCAGCAGAGAGCATGAGTCGGGAAGTTATGACAAGCAATTGGGCTCGGGTTGGTCCCCACGGATGATCTCAACTGTGCACAGGCTAGGTCAACAAAAATGTAAAAAGAGAAAAGAAAACAATGGAAAAAGGTAAAAAAAAAAGGGTAACACAGGGAAATATACAACACGAAAATCTCTGTATCTTACACAGCAATTAAACGGAAAATAGACGCAGTCATCGCAGTCGTCGCACTTAAGCGAAGCTAAGATCTTGAGGCAGACGGTTTCCACTTAGACGTCCGGATGAGTAACAGCGCCATGGTGGCCGTGGCCATTTGCTGCATCTTGGTGCTCCTGGCGGTATTCATTGTCATCATCATAGTGGTGGGGCAGCAGTTCGAGGAGCCCAAATGAGACATGCTCCAGCTGGGACCTGGCAACTTCCCAGATGGATAACAGAGATCGACTAACTGCTAATTGCCATGGCACCAGCCAGTGCCAACTATCAACAACAACTACAAGAAGAAAAAAACAACAAGAAAACATAATGAACATGATGAAGGGGAGAAGTTGAAGCATTATACCGCCGTCGTCCATCGATGTCCACATCAAGCATACGAGTCACATCTAGAATCCAAGGTCATCCCATATGAGGCGAATGGGCTAGAGAATGAGAGAATCGTTAGAGATCGAAGGAGAGCGCCACAGCGCTATTAATCGAAGAAGAAGAAGAAGAAGTAGAAGGAGAATAAGAATTAAAAGTAGAAGCAGAAGAAGACATCCCAACGTCAGTACCCATTGGCTGTGATGTGAAGTTTTTAGACAAATTAAAAACCAACAAAATTTGGATCATTCCTCATGCCGCAAAACACATCTATAAGTAGACGTTTACCTTGTGTGTTTGTTAAATGTTGTTATGAGCAAATCAATATAAAACCCTATATACATGTTTACATAATTTATAATAATAGTATGTATTATGCATCTGTATGTATGTATATATATATACATAGTTATGGGTAATCCAACCGTCGTAACATCGCGATTTTATACAAGTGTTGTTAACAAATTTTTATTGATGTTTTATTGATGTTGCATTCAACTAAATACACACACACAAAGACACTTGAACAATTGCAGACAAACACACTCACACCTACATACACTCAAACTCAAGCCAAGTAAAAATGTAAGCAAAATAAATTTATATAAACGTCTCAATTGACAACTATGCCAAAGTCCAAGCACGCAACATGTGGCCAGGCTGGATGCGGGACAACAAGAAGAGAATACAAAAATGAAATAAAATAAAATATATAAATAAAATATAAATGAAACGCATACGAATCGTATGAGCAACCTTATGAGAGCGAGCAGCAGAGGCGAGAGGCGAGAGGCGAGAGGCGCGTGCAGCAGGACATGTACAAGGACAATAGCAAGCGCAACCAATGAGCTCAAGGCAACACTGCTCAAGCCTAGGATACTCGAATTAATGTATGTAGATGGATGCATATGTATATGGATTTATAAGCAATCGCACTTATTAATGACAGCAACGGGAATTTGTTTGAGCATGAGAATCAGAATCAAAGCTGTTGGCATAGTTCTAGTAAATGATATGCATTTTATATATCAAATAACTTTTGGATAAGTTTTATGTGTGTGAATTAACTCATATATACATATATATGTATATATATGTAATGATATACATATATGTATGTATATATATGTATGTGTATAGAAATATGAATAACAAATTAATAATACATATGGTTACATATACGTAATTATTTCATTTTCGATGTATACTAAAGAGTTCTCTATGTGTCTGTTTGAACAGCATTCCATATACCCGAACATAAACAACAACAACAACAGCAAATGAGATAATTCAATTTTAAAGTTATGTGAAAGAATAACCAGTAAATTCGATATAAAATAAAAAAATACACATTTTATGCGAAACGTACGCGCGTTGTAAACCAATATAATATCTATTCAAATAAATTAACCAAATAAATTGCAAGCCTCTATTTTATTATGAAGTGCTCAAAGCTGAAATTTGATAACAGAAATTATGCATATTTAGGTAAGCATAATTGGCCAGAATTAGAAAAAAATAAATAAATAATGAAAATATTGTTAGACACGGAAAACTACGCAAGGTTATGAGCAAAAAAAAGGTGGGAGAGAAAAGTCTCGAATGAAAATTGAATTCAATTCGAATGCTTTGGATATCCCTCAGGTATGCGCCTGGCAATATACAGGTGTTGGCTCTAGGTGTGCAGCTATGCAGCCAGTTCACTTCAAAGGCCACGTGGCTGCTGCAGGCACACACACACATACACATGGCGACTTGCCCCCAGTTTTAGATACGTTATAAATTGCTGTTGTTGGCAGTAAAGAAAAAAAAATAAACGGTAGTTGCTGCCAGGAGACTAAAGCCGGAGCGTGCAGCGACAATAAAGTTTTATTAGTGCAGGTGCTGTCAATGATGTTCGCCCACCTGGCTGATTAAAATGGCAACGTGGAGCGTTGCTGGGCAAAGAAGGCCTTAGACTGTGGCGCGCCTACGGGGCTCAGCCATGAAACATTCCTGTGTAGTCCAATTCTGGAGTCAAAAGAATCTTATTCACCGTGGAGCATTATGAGAGAGAGCTTTGTACTTATTTAAATTAATTAAAATATAATTAAACACGGCTGTTAGCAGGCAAGTTAATTAATTAAATTACAATTAAACAATGCTCTGTTATCTACAACATAATGAAACTGGAATTCCCATAGACTTGAGTGAATGAACCTAACGTATAACCCACATCTGACTTGCCTTAACTTATCCACCAACATCGTGCGTTATATCAGCTATCAAGTTTATTTAAAGGCACCTGTATTTAGGCTTGTCATGGGCATTAAACTCTCTTCTTCTTTATTTGTATATGTCACACACGCATCCACGGGAAGCCTTCACTCTACACAATGCGTAAAATTAAGCTGAAATTAGGATTGTTTACTTGAATGATTGATATTTCGCAGAGCCGGCAATTCGCTGTGCCCTGAGGTCGTGTATTTAAGATGTTGACATTTGCTTTCGAAAAGTTCTTCAATTTGGTTGACAAAGTGGGGGAAGGAGGTCCTCGTAGGACGAAGTTGGACAGGAAAGAGGCTCGGTGCTCTCCTAAAAAATTTAAGAATTTTTTGTTGGCAGAATCGGATAAGAATTGAGTTCTTGAATGAAAAAGTTTATGATTTCAATAAATATTATATATGAATATAAATATATATTATTATGTTGGTTGAATCATAAAATGAAATTGAGTTTTTGTAAAACTTTATAATTTAAATAAATAAAAGTTAAAAATATATTTTGTCCTTGGTTAGATAGGAATAAATTACATTATTATTAATTTGAAATAAGAATTTTAGGTATATTTTATTTTTTCAATTTTGTAATAAAAACTTTATGCTTTGAATAAAGCTTAAAGATATGTTTTTACTTTATACTTTAAAATAAAATGCATTATAATTTTATATTCTAAATAAAACTAGACATCGTCTAACCATTCCCATTCCATTTACGGCTACTTAAGGATCTTCAGCTCGTAAATCAGACTTAGTTTTGTTTTTCCTGTTTCATGAAAGTGAAGTCAATTGGGTTGCGCGTTATGTCGACGGGGCCGAGACTCCTGTGTCCGTTAGGTTTCCGTTTGAAAGCATGAAGTAATCATAAAGTGATGGAAATTCAATTTGCACAATATTAAATATGGCAAGTGGGCAAAGTTGAGAATTTACGGGGCGAGATGGGAAAGGCTGCAGGCGGCGAATGTTAAGGTGGCAATTTGGTACTTTTTGTAAGCGAAATTGAGTCTGTGTATGTGTGTGTGTGTGTGTGTGTATGTGTGTGAGTGCGGTTTATTATTATGCAGATTAGGCTTAGGTCGCTTGGTTTACCTTTACAACACACTGAGCTGACATACGAACAGTGGGCGTGGCAGTGTGTGCGCATGTGTGAGTGCGCATAAAAATCTACACACTTTTAGCTCTGTCACTTCCCCTTTCCTGTTCTCCTGTCATCACCTGCCCTCAAATGAATATATGTAAATTGTGTTTCATTTTGAGTTTTGCTACCGTTTCTGCAAAAAGTCCTCAAATACATATGTGTATTTATATATGTGTGTGTGTGTGCGTGGGTGTGTAGAAATATGGGCAGTCGATGCCTTGACTAAAATTCAACCTCACATCAAATGTCACGTTTTATGAATATGCGTTTGCATAGCAACAATTTGTGCATTTTGCTCTCAATACACTCAATGTCCTCGACGTGCCCAAGTGCTCCAATGCCGTCGTTGAGTTTATGCAAATATCGAGGGCTTTGCAATTTGTTTGTGCTTTGACGTAAAATCACATTACCCAAACGTATGTAATTGCAGCTGTTAGTAGTTTGTAATTAGCTGTCAACTGATTCGAACGGGCCTGGGCCCACACACTATGCAGCTATATTATTCGAATTTCGGATTCGATTCGAGTTGGGCTAGATGCGAAAACCAATTACCGAAGGGAAATTGTTCAATTAGAAAGTAAAATCGAAAACAAACGAAAAAAAAGGCGTGGGCTTAGCTTAAGAGTTTGGCATTCAATTCCGAAACAGTTTTTGTAGGCTATCTCTCTCTTGCTCTCTCTTTCCGAAACAGTTTTCATGGGTTGTATATATATAACACAATCTCTCTCTCTCTCTCTCTCTCTCTCTCTATTTACTGACTGAGTTGGCTTTTTTTTTTTTTTTTTTTTTTTTTTTTTTTTTTTTTTTTTTTTTTTTTTTTT